CTGTTCTGCGTGGGCAACAACGGGGAACACACCGGCTAGAATGAACTGGCTAACCCAAACACACAACCATAAACAGAAACACACAAGCGTGTATGTACGTATGCTGTATGTGCACACATGCACGCACGCACGCACACACAAACACACACACACACACACACACACACACACAACAGCAGCTCAGCTTATAGTGTTTATCATCTTTATTACTTTATTACTTTCTTCAGAGTTTTCCCTAAACTGATTTGATTACATTGTCTTCAGATTATCTAGTCTCTTAGCTGCATGTAGTTATCGACCTTGGAAAGTGATGCATGACAGCCACAACAGATACAGACAAGAGTTTGGCTTGGTTTTGCCTTGAAGCCCTTACAGCACAGAATCACTATAGATACCTCTCCTGGACCAGCCTTGTACAATGTTTGTGACATTCACACAGCCATTCATGGACACTCACTAAACTATTGCAACAAAATCAGCCTTGGATAACCACAGTCACTCACAACCATTAGACTCTCAAGACATTTCAGAGTCCATTTTTGAACCATATAGCTCTCTCCTCTCTCTTCTCTCTCTATTTGGGCTATATCAGTGATGTTGTGCTGTGCCCGCTTTAGACCCATCCAAAATAATTTGACTCTCTACAGACATTTTATGATCCCTTTTAGAACCACATATCCCTCTCCAAGGGTCTCTCCAGGTACACTAAGTATTTAGACTTTGTTTGGGAGGCTGGCAGTGCCAGTCCTGGATCATCCATAATATATGACACACTCTAATGGGGGTAAACAGAAAGTTACCCCAAGGCAGGAAGGGAAACGCTGGGGAGAGAATCCAAACCATGGAGTAAAATGTACTGTATACTGGGTGGTGGGTGCCAAATGGAACAACAACAGCTTGTGAGCAGAAGTTTTGTGTGTTGGGGGGTAAGGTGATGTGTGTGTGTGTGTGTGTGTGTGTGTGTGTGTGCGTGCGTGCGTGCACGCGTTCTTATGCTTACATGTGTGTGCATTGAAGTACCCAGAGGCCTACTGGTTTACATAGACGTCAGGGTTAGGTTAAATTCCAATTGAAGGCAGCCAATTCAGGAAATAAACCAAAATTACAATTTAATAATCGAAAAAAAGGCATTTATTTTCAATGACTTCTCAATAAACTGAAAAGTAAAAGCTATTTATTTCTAACTTTTTTAAATGTCTCAATTTTTTATTCAAATCACATCCTGAATTGACTGCCTTCAATTAGAATTTAGCCCGTAGAACAACCTGGTCTCAGAGCATTTCGAATTATTCTTTAAGTAAATCGAAGATGCTCCATTTATGATATGTTGCGTCTTGTATGGTATATATTAATTTGTGGATGTCCATCATCTATTTCATATCAGATATTATGAATTACAATTTGGATTATATGATACGAATTTGCAAAATGTACAATATGTTACAGATTTTGCGAAACGTACAATATGTAACAAATTTGCAAAACACATGAGATGTTACGAAATCCAATTTGTTGTGGCTAACGTTGGCTAGGTGGCTAATGCTAATGTTAGCTAGCTGGCTAATGTTAGCTAGGCTAGGGGTTAGGGTTAGGATTAGGGTTAAGGTTAGGGTTAGGGTTATGGTTAAGGTTAGGGTTAAGGTTAAGGTTAGGAGTTAGGTTAAATGGTTAAGGTTATGGTTAAGGTTAGGGGAAGGGTTGGCTAAAAGTCTTAATATTAGGGTTAGGAGAAGGGTTAGCTAACATGCTAAGTAGCTGCAAAGTAACTAAAAAGTAGTAAGTATACTGAACAAAAATATATACGCAACATCCAACAATTTCAACAATTTTACTGAGTTACAGTTCATATAAGGAAATCCGTCAATTGAAATAAATTCATTAGGCCCTAATCTATGGATTTCACATGACTGGGCAGGGGCGCATACATGGGTGGGCCTGGGAGGGCATAGGCCCATCCAGTGGGGAGCCAGGCCCAGCCAATCAGAATGAGTTTTTCCCCACAAAAGGGCTTTAATACAGAAATAAATACTCCTCAGTTGCATCAGCTGTCTAGTTGGCTGGTGTCAGACGATCCTGCAGGTGAAGAAGCCGCAAAGTGGAGGTCCTGTGCTGGCGTGGTTACACATGGTCTGCGGATGTGAAGCCGGTTGGATGTACTGCCAAATTCTCTAAAACAATGCTTATGGTAGAGAAATTAACATTAAATTGATGGACATCCCTGCAGTCAACATGCCAATTGCACGCTCCCTCAAAAATTGAGACATCTGTAAGAGCGTCTGCTAAATGACTAAAATGTCAATGTAAAAACTGCACATTTTAGAGTGGCCTTTTTTTGTCCCCAGCACAAGGTGCACCTATGTAATGATCATGATGTTTAATCAGCTTCTTGATATGCCACACCTGTCAGGTGGAGGGATGAACTTGGCAAAGGAGAAATGCTCACTAACAAGGAAGTAAACAAATTTGCGCACAACATTTGAGAGTAATAAGCTTTTTGTGCATGTTGAAAATGTATGGGATCTTTCATTTCAGCTCATGAAACATGGGACCTACACTTTACATGTTGCATTTATATTTTTGTTCAGTATAGTTTAAAAGTTGTTAATTAGCTAAAATGCTAAAGTTTTTCGTGATGAGATTCGAACACGCAGCCTTTGGGTCACTAGACGTTTGCGTTATACGCTCACCCTTCCACCCCGACCAACCACCCTCCTTTTAATTTTTGCCTTAAGTAACCTTCTGTCTTATGTAACCATACCAAACATAACATATCATACTAATTTTAAGTCCCGGTTTACATTTACTATCTTATGTCTAGTCTATGAGACCAGGCTGCATAGGACCACCATCCTTGATCCAGCATCCCTGGAGTCAAGATCAAGATTAACCTGAATGACAGACAGAAATATTCATTAGAAAGTGTAGTATTGGGGTATCAATAGCCCTACATTGAGGGATATAAACGTTGGCAAACATGGACACAGGGGTTACATTTATGGAATGTTCACCCTCTGTGGATGAAAGGGAGAACGCGTTGGATATTGAACATGGTGCAGCAACCAATTTGAGCAGTTGTTCCACTACTTACTAACTCCAAATGTAATATTCTTATGTAACACTAGTTATATTTTCATTAAGTTTACCTAGAGTTGTGCCCTCTCCAAAGGGTTGAAGTCTCACCCACACACTTCTCTCCTGTTGGCCTACAGTAGGTCTAAACACACAACCATAGAATGTTTAACAATGAGCTTGCCTGCATAGCTCCAGTCAGCATCGGGCCGGTGGAAACATCGATTTCCTGTCAGAGCCATCGAGGAGTCCCCGCTCCCTGGCCTGCAGTGGGGCTGGAACAGCCAGGGGGAACATCAGTAACCCACAGGCGTTCTGGCAGCGTTTAGTGGCGGTTTGTTCATTCGTCCTATTACCTCCGTGAGTGGCAGAGAGTTTCCCGGAGTAGCCTTTTGAGTAGGGGAGGCCGGGGTAACCCCGCAATTAGTCTGATAGGACAGTCGTGGCCCAGAGCCTCGTCAGCATCCGCTGGCCTCCAGCATCATTCATCAATGACAAAGAGGTAGATAGAGAAAGCATCTTCCTAATTCTAAGAAATAGTAGGGGATGGACTTAATGAATGATGCGTAATTTACACGTCCATAGATGACCTAGTCTCCACTCAAATTGACGAGAGGAGAGACTTATTGTTTATTGCTTGAGAATTGTTTGTGGTATTCAATTATCTGTGCCGCTGGTCATGTTCATAATAGTGGCTTACACTTTCATAACCACTCTCAAGGGCTTGAACCATTTCATTGCCAGGCAAGCAGCCCTGAATAGGCCTACGCCTACAATGCACTAATTAATACAATTCCCAAAACCAAGTGAAAGAAAACGACTACATTCACATAGCCTATTGCCTAACCATGACCCGTTCTGAAAATATGCATTTTGACAGCAAAGATACAAAAAATATATAATAATAACACGCGGTACTGCCATCATTGCGTAGGATTTCCGGCCTCTCTCTTCCTCTCACCTGTCAAACTGCTGATGTCTAACTAACTCATTCATTGATGAGGTAGACAATAATGTTTGCAATTAAATTCTTCAAAAACATGTTTTTTTCCACGTCTCCTCGGTGCACCTTTTTGTGCGTCAACGGGATGGGTAGGCTGGCTATGAAAAGATGCATAGATTGTGAATGCATAGAACTAATGTCCCCTTTCAGATATTATAATGCAAGATTCATGACAATAGTATAATTTGTCAAATATATGAACACACTTATGTTGCGTTTTTGTGCATTCGTGTTGATGCAGAACTGCAATTGCATTGCCAATAATATAACTGAAACCCATACTGAAACGAGCTGCATAGAGAACTGTTTATTACATTTTCATTTAGATCATTTAAAAGCTTGCAATACAGCTGAAATGTACCAGCTTCTATCTAAAATAAAGGCTACAGTGTTTTCCTTGCTGGTTTGGGTGAGGGAGGAGTATGGTGCGGAGTGCTGACATTACTTATTGTACGGTGTACTGAGTAGAGTGCTGGACTTGAGCTGCACTCCTACCTCTCATTCACTGCTGCCAAGCACCGATCAGCGTTACCTCAGGAAGCTCCAAATAAGGGCAAGGAAATGGAAACCCACCGGAATAGTTCCTTACTTAGACACAACCTTATATGGCATGGCAGAGCTGGGTTTTCCGGCAAGCGTGCAGCCTGCTACACAGATGGGAAATCCGAATCTAAACAACGCGCCATCGGGGAGACAGCAAGAATTATGCCGCCTTCTCTAGCAGGGATTCTATGAAGATGCATCGATTCAGGGTTGAGGAAGAGCGGTTATCTTCCCGCGATTTATTGCACTGGTTCAATATAAAGTGTCTCCTCTCTGCTTTCCCCCTGGCCAACGTCATGTGTCCTCCACTGCAGTGCCTAAATATGGGCTTCCTCCACTCCATACATGGACATCTACGTCACGGAGAGAGGGTATATAAAGGAGTGGGGATTCTCTGAGCATGAGAGTGCGCCCTCAGAGCTCAGAACAGCTAACCTTAGAGCAGAGATAGCCAGATACACACATACAGCGCTTTCTCCCTAACTAAGAACATTTTCACTCAAAAAGTAAAAGTGAATTCAAAGCAACAACAACAACAAATTATCCAAAAGGGCAACACCCTAATTGGATTAAACTAGTGAAAAGAAAAAATATATTAATGATTATTTATCATTAATTTTAGGGAATGAGTAAAAGGGACATCTGATCTAACTACTCTTCTCAGAAAGAAAATAATAAAGTGGATTTGTACACATCTTGGACAAGAGGAGGAACAAGACAAGAAGACTCTTGGAGAACCAGAGAAAAGAGAGAAAGAAATAGAAGATAATATCTCCTCATCCTCAGCAGCAGCAGTAGCAGTCTGACCCTGCTCCCTAAAGTGGACTGGTGATTTCCTCCACCTGAGAGAGGACTATCACCACTCTGCCCAGACTGCACCCAGCCTCGCTGCACTCCTCTCCAGCCTCCAGCGCAGCCTCAGCCCCCTACAGCACCACATCCCTGGAGGATGGCTGCAACCAAGACAGAGATGCTCAATCCAGCCCTGCAGATCTCAGACGCCCTCAGCTTCACCCACTCGCACATGGATAACTATCCCAAGCTGGAGGATATGATGATGTTGAGCTCCGCTGGGACCCCCTTCCTCTCTGCCTCAGCGCCCGAGGGAGCAGATTTCGGATCGGGGGAGCCAGGAGAGCAGTATGACCACCTTACTGGAGGTAAGAGTGTCTCCTTGGTCTATTGCTGTATGGAACTACTGTATTGTATTGTATTGTATGATAGACTGCATTCTGCAGTAGCAGAATGCATGGCATGAAACAGTTGATACATAATGCATAATAATGCATGATCATTGTTTGTGTTCAGCTGGCAACTATTAATTACATTTCAGCTTCAAGAGAAGACCCTTGATATGTTGAATATGCTCTTTGAATGAGATATGTCTACTTCTAATTATGTTTAGATTTTCTTTTTAAATAAACAAATTAAATATAATAAAGCAATTTAATGAATGACGATTGGAAATACCTAACCCCCCCAAAATTGAGAATTTGATCAATTAAATTGTAGCTCTTCATCACTTTTGGATTGTATTTGAGCTTCAGCATTGCTCACTCATTGCATACCTTCAGACAGTCTAGAGCTACACTAAAATTGCATTCCTAAAACCAGCTGAACTGCAGTTTCAGTAATCAATTTCCTTTGGCTATGTGGTGGACTTCAAGAGCTTGGCGCGCGTGTGTGTTTGTGTGCGTCACAGAAAGAAAATACAACTGTAAAATAAAATATATCTAAAAATGCATGCAGATGGCTTGGCTTGACTTGCACGACAGCTCTCGTCTATCTTTTGGTTAGTGGAGGAAATGGCTGGTGTGGGAGTTTAGAGGTGGGAAAGAGCTGGGGTTGCTGGGCTGGGAGGGAGGGAGGCTGGTTCTCCTGCTTTGCGTAGGCACCTGCTGCTCTTAGAGAGGAGAGGGGCAACACTGTCCACCTCTGGCAGGATTCCCCTTCTCCCTCCCTCCCTCCCTCCCTCCCTCCCTCCCTCCCTCCCTCTCTCTCTCCCTCCCTCCCTCCCTCCCTCCCTCCCTCCCTCCCTCCCTCATGGATATTAATTGATTAATCTTTCTCTTTGCAGATACGTTACCTGATATCTCCATGAACTGTGAGAAGTCGATGGGCGAGCAGAGCTACTCCACCCAGCGGCTGCCTCCCATCTCCTACACCGGCCGCTTCACCATGGAGCCCGCCACCAACAGCAGCAACAGCCTGTGGGCCGAGCCCCTGTTCAGTCTGGTCAGTGGGCTGGTTGCGATCAACCCCCCCTCCACCTCCACCCCATCCTCCTCCGCCTCTCAGACCGGCACCTCTTCCTCGTTGTCCTCCTCTATCTCATCCATCGCCATCTCCTCTCAGAGCTCCGGTCTGAGCTGCTCCGTCCACCACAGTGAGAATAACCCCATCTACTCGGCTGCTCCTACCTACTCCAGCGCCAGCCCTGACATATTTTCCGATCAGGGCCAGTGCTTCCCCAGCCCCGCCGGAGGGTCGCTCCAGTACAACCCTCCAGCCTACCCTAACGGGAAGATGTGTGGCAACAGCTTCCCTGTGCCCATGATCCCTGACTACCTCTTCCCCCAGCAGCAGGGGGAGATTAGCCTTCTACCTGATCAGAAGCCCTTCCAGAACGGGTCAGGCCAGCCCTCCCTCACCCCCCTGTCCACCATAAAAGCCTTCGCCACCCAGACAGGCTCCCAAGACCCGAAGCGTGTCTACCAGTCCCAGGTGATCAAGCCCAGCCGCATGCGCAAGTACCCCAACCGGCCCAGCAAGACGCCGCCCCACGAGAGGCCGTATGCCTGCCCCGTGGAGACATGCGACCGCCGTTTCACCCGCTCAGACGAGTTGACACGCCACATCCGCATCCACACAGGCCAGAAGCCCTTCCAGTGCCGTATCTGCATGCGCAACTTCAGCCGCAGCGACCACCTGACCACGCACATTCGCACGCACACCGGTGAGAAGCCCTTCGCCTGCGAGATCTGTGGACGCAAGTTTGCCCGCAGCGACGAGAGGAAGAGGCACACCAAGATCCACATGAGGCAGAAGGACAAGAAGGCGGAAAACGGTGGGATGACTGGGTTGTTGGCTGTAGCAGCAGCTTCAGCATCAGCCCCTTCCCCTGCCTCTAGTTACGCCTCTCCCATCACCTCCTACCCCTCCCCGGTCTCCTCCTACCCCTCCCCAGTCACATCCTGCTACTCCTCTCCCATCCACACCTCGTACCCCTCTCCCTCCATCGCCACCACCTACCCCTCTGTCTCCATGTCCATGTCCACTACCTTTCAGTCCTCCATGGCATCCTCCTTCCCCTCCTCCGTAGCCTCCATCTACACCTCTCCGGTCCCCACCCCGCTATCAGACATGCAGTCCACACTCTCCCCAAGGACAATCGAGATCTGCTAAGGAAGAGAAAGAGAAAACACATTTTATTCTCTCCTCCTCACCACTCAGTACAATCTCTTTGAGGGGAGAAATCAGCATCAAAAGACTTGTTATTCACCTTCTGAAAAGCACTTTTCTGCCTGCTCCCTCCGCAAGCTCTGTTCAGTGAATCCTCAGATTCACCTGAAGAAGAGATAAAACTATACACACGTCAAGGACAAAGACAATATAGAAGACAAAAAGGGATTTTTTCTTTCTCTGTCGATAAAGCAAATGCAGCGCTTCAAACAAGGCATACAAGACTTTCTAGAGCCGGAGTTGAAACTGGCGTAGACAGGTCGTTCCTATTAGTGAATGCACAGACGGAGACAAACAGACAGACAGACTGAACATTGCCTGGTACTAAGGCACGCTTGCCCTCCGAGGCTATCATTTACAGTACACAATGCATTGAATGATATACATAAGCTACATAATATGTATATTGTACTCGTGCCATGTTTTGCTCCTTTTTCCCCCATTCTTTGGTACCATTGATGTGAAAAACTTATTTGCATTGTATTATTTGAAGTGAGCAGGGCCATATTTTCTATTCTAATACTTTCTCTATGATGTAGTGATGACGATGCTGTGATGCGTTTTTTTTTTTAACTTTGTTTGATGACGAAATAAGCACTTAAGTATTCAAGCATGTGTTAAGAGTGATGTTAGTTTCTATTGTTTTGTAAATATCATCCACTGGTACTATCTTTCTCTTTCTCACATCATGTGACATATCAGTCTGTTATGTGGACAAAAAAGAGAAAAAAATACAACTTAAACTAAAAAAAAAACTAAACAGCCAACGTTCCCGTTTCTGGTGCCTTTTTGTGAAGCCTTGCTGATGTTTTGACACGGCTGCGTGCGAGAGATGATGCATTGCGTCTCGCCTTAAGGGTTGAAGGGATATTTTTGTTACAGAATGTAAGTTATGCTCAGACAAAGAGAAAGGGAAGAAAGGGACGAGATGATATGAGGGCACCGCTTCATTTCTTTAGAATGTAAGCAAAATTATAAACTATATTTTTTTAACAGAAGAAATGTAAATATCCACACCTTCAAGTTGGAATGTTGTACTTACCTACTGAGTAGGCATGGAATTCTTTTGTATGTTATATACATGCGGCTCATTATTTTGTGGTTTATGTCTATTTTGTATTTGTGTTTGTTAAATCAAGTGACTGTTTCTGGCTTCTCAACACATTGAATGCGCTTAACTGCCAATGGGATATTTGGTGTACATGATATCCTCCCAGAAATTAAATATAAATAAAACGTAAATATATGTATAGAATTGCCTTCCGTACTTTATTACTGACTGGTTTCAAATATTTCCATTGGTACATGACAAAAATCATATTAGAGCATCTCATTGCATTTCAGGGCTCATATCTGTAGCCTGCATCCTCACCCATCCATCCCATACATTATAGCCTATACATGCACATCATAGGCTATATCATAATCCGATATGTGCATGCTCTATAAGTGGATTCCCCCACAGTTCCCACATCATGGGGACCTTTAGCCTAATTGAAGAGACATTTCCCAGAATGATTTCACGGTCACTACATTGATCATTGTTCTCCTGGTGAACCTTCATTGAGAAAGCAAATGCATGACTCCCATGACTATCTAGACTATATGAAGATGGGGACTAGCAACTTAGATATAATTGTATCTACATGCTACTTTGAGATATTAGGCTAATCGATATGAACCTCGTTCCCTGCTATTTGAGCATGAGCGAAAGTTTTTAAACAAGATTCAAATCATTCAATCGATAGAGGTCTACCCATATTGTTTTTAGATTTTGGACATTCAGGTAATTATTACATAACTAGGTTAAGGGCTCTATTCAATCTGTAGCGCTGAAGATCTGCTTTATAGCACAATTGACAATGAAAGGCAATGTTCCCGCAGTCGCGGACACTGCATTCACTGTAAACACTGCATATGTCGGCTCAATCGGAAATCACCTTGACGTTTTTATGCAGATCTTTTGCGATACTTCTGCGATATGGATTGAATCCAGCCCTTACTACATACAGTGCTTTCAGAAAGTATTCATACCCCTTGACTTATTCCACATTTTGTTGTGTTACAGTCTGAATTCAAAATTGATTAAATAGATTGTTTTCTCACCCATCTACACACAATACCCCATAACGACAAAGTGAAAAAATGTTTTTAGACATTTGTGCTAATCTAATGAAAATGAAATACAGAAATATCTCATTTACATAAGTATTCACACCCCTGAGTCAATACTTTATAGAAGCACCTTTGGGTCTTTCCAGGTAAGTCTCTAAGAGCTTTCCATACCTGGATTGTGCAACATTTTCCCATTATTCATTTCAAAATTCATCAAGCTCTGTCAAGTTGGTTGATGATCATTGCTAGACAACCATTTTCAGGTCTTGCCATAGATTTTCAAGTAGTAATCAAAACTGTAATCTCAGCCGCTCAGGACCATTCACTGTCTTCTTGGTAAGCAACTCCAGTGTAGATTTGGCCTTGTGTTTTAGGTTAGTGTCCTGCTGAAAGGTGAATTAATCTCCCAGTGTCTGGTGGAAAGCAGACTGAACCAAGTTTTCCTCTAGGATTTTGCCTGTGCATAGCTCCATTCCGTTTCTTTTTTATCCTGAAAAACTCCCCAGTCCTTAACGATTACAAGCATACCCATAACATGATGCAGCCACCACTATACTTGAAAATATGGAGAGTGGTAGTAATGTGTTGTATTGGATTTGCCCCAAACATAACACTTTGTATTCAGGACAAAAAGTTAATTGCTTTGCCACATTTTTCACAGTATTACTTTAGTGCCTTGTTGCAAACAGGATATATGTTTAGGAATAATTTGATTCTATATGTATTGTTCTGAGACCGCTTGTGACACTGTGAATTCATCTGCGTGGGGTTATTATCGAATGTTCGAAGCAGATGAAAGCGTGGACAGTAACAAGTGCTCCTCTGGAATCTAGGAGATGATTTTAACCGCCGCCTATTTCAAAGAATATAAGTTACATTGCCATTTATATATTCATCATGATTATCACTGAAAACGTCATCGGCCTAGTGCTCATTCTGATAACTAGACCACTCCACCGTCCCTCTCTTCCATGTGGTGTTCATGCGGCTAGGCTTAATTGTAGGCTTGTATGCTACTGAGTCAAATCAAATCAAATTAAATTGTATTTGTCACATGCGCCGAATACAACAGGTGTAGACCTTACTGTCAATGCAAATAGTCCGGGTGGCCATTTGATTTGTTGTTCAGCAGTCTTATGGCTTGGGGGTAGAAGCTGTTAAGGAGCCTTTTGGACCTAGACTTGACACTCCGGTACCGCTTGCTGTGCGGTAGCAGAGAGAACGGTCTATGACTTGGGTGACTGGAGTCTTTGACAATTTTTTGGGCCTTCTTCTGACACCGCCTAGTATATAGGTCCTGGATGGCAGGAAGCTTGGCCCCAGTGATGTATTGGGCTGTACGCACTACCCTCTGTAGTGCCTTACGGTTGGATGCTGAGCAGTTGCCATACAAGGCGGTGATGCAACCGGTCAGGATGCTCTCGATGGTGCAGCTGTAGAACTTTTTGAGAATCTGGGGACCCATGCCAAATATTTTCAGTCTCCTGAGGGGGAAAAGGCATAGTCGTGCCCTCTTTACGACTTTCTTGGTGTGTTTGGACCATGATAGTTTGTTGGTGATGTGGACACCAACGAACTTGAAACTCTCGACCTGCTCAAATACAGCCCCATCGATGTGACTGGGGGCGTGTTTGGCCCTCCTTTTCCTGTAGTCCATGATCATCTCCTTTGTCTTGCTCACATTGAGGGAGAGGTTGTTGACCTGGCACCACACTGCCAGGTCTCTCACCTCCTCCCTATAGGCTGTCTCATCGTTGTCAGTGATCAGGCCTACTACCATTGTGTTGTCAGCAAACTTAATGATGGTGTTGGAGTCGTGCTTGGCCACGCAGTCGTGGGTGAACAGGGAGTACAGGAGGGGACTGAGCATGCACCCCTGAGGGGCCCCCGTGTTGAGGATCAGCGTGGCAGATGTGTTGTTGTCTACCCTTACCACCTGGGGGCGGCCCGTCAGGAAGTCCAGGATCCAGTTGCAGAGGGAGGTGTTTAGTCCCAGGGTCCTTAGCTCAGTGATGAGCTTTGTGGGCAGTATGGTGTTGAACGCTGAGCTGTAGTCAATGAACAGCATTGTCACATAGGTGTTCCTTTTGTCCAGGTGGGAAAGGGCAGTGTGGAGTGCGATTGAGATTATGTCATCTGTGGATCTGTTGGGGCAGTATGAGAATTGGAGTGGGTCTAGGGTTTCCGGGATGATGGTGTTGATGTCAGCCATGACCAGCCTTTCAAAGCACTTCATGGCTACCGACGTGAGCGCTACGGGGCAGTAGTCATTTAGGCAGGTTACCTTCGCTTTCTTGGGCACAGGGACTATGGTGGTCTGCTTGAAACATGTAGGTATTACAGACTCGGCCAGGGAGAGGTTGAAAATGTCAGTGAAGACCGCGCATGCTCTGAGTACATGTCCTGGTAATCCGTCTGGAGTGATGTAAATTATTTGAGAACATTAATTTATGTGCCAAAATGGAAGGCCTAATTGGCACATGTGATGATAGTTTATCAGTTTTAGTCCTATTTAGATTAATTAATCCAAATTCTGAAGATTAGGCCTACTTAAGAAGCATAGGCTACACAGCCTTTTCATCATGGCGCAGTCATCAAATATCCTTCTCCAACTTTTAAACGTTGCCAAACATCACTGAACCCAGAGCACTATATAACTGTAAAAACATCCATATAGTGCAGACAAGTAGGACTAGAGTTTATTTTCCCAAAGTTAGGGTGTGCAATACACTCACCACCAAAATACGCACAAATGCAAACACAGCTAAAAAGGAAGACGGAAAACAAGTGAAAGAGAGAGGCATAGAGGGAAAGGAAAATAATTAAGA